TACACAGGCTTACATAAGTCTTCCTATTACATAGTTATTAGAAAACATTTTGGGGGAGTAAAGGGTAGCAATATATAAACACCCCGTCTTACACATTTTATTCACTAGCCTAAAAGAAAATATTTCATATGAGGTTTTTTAAACTTTTTCAAAAATTTCAATTTTCCAATTTTTTGGGAAAAAAACCCTAAAAAATGTCCTCAGGAAGAAAAACTGTTTTCTTCTGGGCCTTCATAGCTCTAATCTTAAGGCAACTGCACAATTAACCATTTAACTGCCAATACCTGTAATGTGTAGAAGAAGCTTCAGGCGCCCTAGGTTTCATTCTCCTCAGCATGTAAGTGAGTGTCACAAAAGCTTGACACAGACATCAAGTTATCTTATGAATTTCATGCTGACTATGAAAAGCAGGACAGTTTATCTAATAAAGAACATTTTCAAAAGCATGCGAATGCATAAAAAAAAAAAATCACAGAAACATGTTATTTTTCAGCAAAAGGAACTAGATTTGGAACCAAGTTTTAGAACTGAATGGAAAAACAAATTTACCTAGCTTATTCAAAGCTGTTCTGGCATCTCAGATTCAACCTTACACATCAACATATTGTCAGATGGGTAAACGGCAAGAGGTAATCATCATTATGCCAGTAGTATTACTTCTGCCTATGCTGATTGAATGACAGGTGGCTATTTCTTTTTAGATTACTTGTTACAAGCTATTCTGGACAAAGCCTCTGCTCTAGGATAAGAAATACATTCAAGAAGACTGAATTTAATTCTTTTGCAACAGGAAGGCAAGACCCAACAATTACTGCAACTTTTTGCCTTCGTTTCTCTCTCTAAATTCTCTCTTTAGATTGCCATACCAAAAATGGCCACTATAACAACTGGGGCCAGACAGGGATTGGAAAAAAAGGAACAGTTTCCAAGTTGCTGGCCTGGCTGGCTAAACAACAGGCTGGACCCTCAACTGGTAGTGATCCACAATGCTCCATGGAACTATGCATATTTCTACCGCTTTAGGATTGGGCTTCCTTAACAGGAGCTGGTATTAACATCTTCATAAAGAAAAGCAGCATACTCACGTTCTTCTGACTTTAGCAGATGACACAACATCATGGCTGTAGAAAGTGCATGGAACTTGTGAAAATATCACAGGAGACTCAATTCTCACTGTTTGCAAGAAAATATTAATATCAAACGTTCATAAATAACACAAGCTGATCAGGTTATTTGGCTTTTTCAAGTTTGGCTGGCATCTCAGATATACAGATACTCATCAAACATATCAGTTGGGTAAACGGCAAAGAAATCATCATTATGCCAGCAAACTAAATTCCTGCTTACGATTACCATTTAATACTGTAAATTAATATTTTACAGAAGGAAAATATTTGAATATTGTCATAGCTTTGTAAACCACAAGATTAGCATCCTAAACATAAGTAATCATTGGTGCTAAAACAAGTCCCACTTTAAAGATAAGGCCACACGTTAAGACTATACATAAATATTTATACTAGAGTTAAAGCTTATGCGGTCTGTTGGTTTTAGCACTATTTCTGAATGGAATCTCTTTCACATTTCTAGTTACAGTGTGGCAACTACTTATTTTCTCCTTGGAGGACTCCGCTAACTTACGATGGGGGTGAAGGACTGGGTCTCATTTTGTACATTAATAGTTTTGTGTAGCGAATGAGGCACAATATGCTGGGCATTTGTGTACCTAATGTTTTGTACTGTGCAACTAGCACATGGACAGCATGAAGTTCTGATCTTAGTTTCTCATTTGTAACCAACCAAATTAATTATATAGTGTTCCTGAAAATCTTTCCTCTGATTTCTAAAAAAAACAAGTGCAACTTTGGGACTGTACTAAGAAGTATAGCGACAGAAGATCATGCTAACCCCTCTCCATCTGACACTGGCTAAGCCTCAGCTGAACTACTGTGTAGTTTTGGATTGCACATTTTAAGAAGGACATGGAGAAACTGGAGATAATCTGGAAGCAAGCAACAGATGACAAATGGCTGGAATACGAGCTGTAGGGCTTTTTTTTAGTTTAGAGACAAAGGAGATTTGAGGGACACATGACAGCAGTTTCCAAATGTTTGAAAGGTTGCTATACAGAAGAAGGAGAACAACTGTTCTCCATTGCTGCAGAGGGCAAGATGACATAAAGCAATGAATTTAAGGTGCAAAAAACTGCATTTAGATTAAAATTCAGAGGGGCAGGAGTGAGGACAGGGAAACCTCAGCAGTCTTTCCTGACCAGAGCAGGGAGGCTGGACCCAATGATCTCTCAAGGTCCCTTCCAGTCTTAAACTTCTGTGAATCTGTGAAACTTTTTTACTGTGAATGGAAGAACAGTGGAAAAAACTGCTCAAGGAAGCTGTAATGTCTCCTTAGGATCATAAGAAAGTAGGCCTGGAAGGGACCTTGCAGGATCATCTAATCCAGCCCCCTGTGCAAGGCAGGATCATCCCAAACTAAACCATCCCAGGCAAGTGTAATTCTAACCTGCTCTTGAAAATGTCTAAGAATGGAGATAATTTCCCTAGCGCTCTCTGTCATAGTCAAAGTTCCTCCTAATCTCCAATTTAAATTTCCCCTGCTCAAGCTTGAGGCTATTGCTCCTTCACTGGAGTTTTAAAAAGCTTCTCAACCCTCTGATAAAACTTCTCAACTCATTTTCTAGCACTCTGCAGCTACAATATTGAGACATGTAAGGTGGTAATATTGCTTAGTAATTTACTTGATAGCTACAGGTCAGCAATATATAAACACTTTCCATGGGCTTTCTGAAGTCTAAACACCTAAGTCTCAAGTCAATATTCATGTGTAACATTAAGGGAGAAAAATAAAAATCTATGCATACCATGAAATCCTAGGTAAAGTCTTCATTCTTCGGTGTATTATGTTCTGGCATCTCAGATTCATAAATTTACAAGGAAACAACACTCACCTGGGTAAACAACAAAGAAGAAATTATTATTTTGCCAAAATTACTTGTTTATGATACAGAATTACTATTGCATGGGAGGTGGCTAGCTTCAGGCTAAGAAAAGACTTGCATAAGGCTACCTGGGTCAGCAAATCAGTTTGTTTAAGCATGATAATTTGCCAAATGCAGGTGCATATTTTAAAGTAACTTCTGAACATTAAAAGAGAATTCTGATCCTTGAAAAAGGGACTGCTGGATAACAAGTGGGGATTTATCTGTTGCTTTTCTCCCCTCCTCCCTCCAGAGAGATAAACTTACAAAGTAATTTTTCAAAATCTACAAGGATGTACATATGCCTTTAATAGGACACAAGCTTCCTGGCTGCTAGCCTGTTGAAGCTCCCCAAGTATCATATGTACAATACATGAAAAATACTTGGTTTTGATTTCAAGAGTTCATGTAATGACACCTTACTGTCTGCAAAGGAACAGTATAATGGAATTCAGGCAGAGGACTTGTGAAGCCATTGGAGACAAGCACCCACTCACCAACTTTGCTCATTACTTTACAAAAAGAAATCCACACATCATGTACTTCAAACATTCATTAACAGCAAATCAAGTCATTTTCCTTATTCACAATTCCACCATAATCTCAGCAGCAGAAATTGTTTATTTGGAGATGAGCCATAAGTATATCAGCAGAGCAACACTGCAACAATATGAAACCACTACCCATTTTCAGTAACTGAAGTCCTAGGATAAGCCGAGTATGACACTTGCTTAGAGATAACAAAAAGTTAAAACGGAAGGCATTAGTGTTTTGTCCATAAAAAGGAGTTGTGGTCAGGAAGATAAGTATGGAAAATCATTGATTTTAGAAGGGTATGATGTTCCTAATGAGTAACCATTGCTTTTTTTTCCTTTTGGTCCAGTTAGATTTGACAAGTATGAAAAATGAACTAAGGTTAAAGGTTATATGTCCCCTGCTTTCTGAGCACAGGTTTCTTCGTAAACACAATAGTACATTCCCTGTAGGTTCAATTCAAAGTCAGCACTCTTCCCATAATCTTGTTACAATTATGCTACCTCAGAGACTACTAAGACAAGACCCTGATAGGAAGCACTCCCAAGATAACTAATGTTTCTAAGTATGTGCTGTGCTGACAAAATAGAAAAAGCATGGTCAGAGTCACTGGACAACACTCTGCCCAAGCTCCCCAGTGACAAAGGGGTAATTTATCATTAGAATTGGGACGTGCATCTGCTGATGAAAGTTATTTATGAAGACATCAGGATCAATACGGTTCTTCAGCTGTCCAATTTATCATTATACAGAAGGCTTGAAAGGCTGAAAATAACTCAAAACAATCAATTATTTTCCAATAGCATCTTCAGTATATTGCCTAATTAAATCCATCTCAATTTCATAAAATATATGCAAATTGCAGAAAAATAAAAAGGCATCTTAAAACAAATGGCAAATAATGCATCAGCAATTGCATTCCTAATAAAACTAAAATCAATGTATAGTTCATCTTTAACAGCACTGGATTTTTTTTTAAAGCAATGAGCGATTTTTGGAGACACAACATGAAGCCACCCTTACCTTTTCAAGTCACAGCTTGTATATTAAATTTTAGGGAAACATCCGCCTTCTCATCTCTAAAATGCAAGAGATGCAAGAATACCCTCATTCTTTCAGCTTTAAATTGCATTGAAATTAACTCCTTAACTATCAGCCTACATTCTAGTTACAGATCTCCTGTTTTGGGCAGTGTGTTGCAGGCCTGTAAGGTGGCCATTAAGAGGAAAGATGCAGCCCCTTCTAAATGGCTTCCACTATCAACTCGGTGACTAACACTGCAAATATGCCATTACGCACAGGGAAATTTACAGTTTACTTCTCTTGAAACTTTAAGAAATTATTCTTCAAATATAAAAATTCAACAGTAATTATTAAAGCACCCCACTTTCTTTTCCATTACAACTCCACAATTAGCAAGATTTCTACTGTTCAATTTTCATACTGTAAAGTGAAAAGCCAAGTTGGTTATGTGTAACTGCTCTCTCTCCCCACAGTGCAAAAATGCAAATTGAAAATATAATGAAATGAACCAGGGGTTTACCAGATGGACCCAATCTCTTTCTGTGGTTAGCCAAGATTTTTCTTGGGGGAGAAAATTTGCATTTTCTCCCCCAAGAAATGCAATGCAACTTCTTCCTATCCTGGGCCCCGTAAGCAAATGAGGAGAGCGGTGCTATTTTCCTTCCCATTCTACTTAACCCTATTTTAAGTACCCCAACGCAGGGGAGCTCAACCCCCAGTCCAAAGAACCAGGCTATCCGACTTCCCCCAGGGGTCTGAAAATTTGCCTTCATGCGAGCCATGGCACCAGCTGCCCCCTGCTGCCAAATCTGGGTAGCCCACCAGACCGGCTGCGCGTGGTGAGGCCTGATGTGGACACGCAGGAGGCAGAGCAGGGCCCCTCGCCAGGGGCAGCCTTCCGACCCGGGCCAGCCCTGGGCCGCTACTCTGGCCCGCGGCACCGCCCGGCGCAGGGAGGAAGCGGCGAGGGCCAAGCGTTAGCAATCTCACCCATACCACGCGGGAGGAGGCAGCAGCCCCGGTTCCGGAGCCGCCCGCCCGGGCCTGACCCGAGCCCGCGGCGGCCGCACCCATCGCCGCCGAGCCACGAGGCAGCCTCTGCAGCTGCCGCGACCGGAAGTGAGCGTAGAGCTCCCAACCCCCCCTCCTCCGTGTCACCTGGCAACCACTCCCGCCCTCCAGCGGTCCGCGGCGTCCGCCGGCCTCCGCAGTGCGCCTGCGCGGCACCGACCCTGTCCTCCTTAAGCTCTCGGTGTTCTGGCGCTGGGGAAACTGGCTGTTCCCCCCGCCCCGCCCCGCCCCGCCCCGCCCCGGCTGGGAACCTGGGGGGCTTTTGCGCTGCTACCGGCGCCGCTGTCGCCCGGGTTGAGGCGTAGGCGTCCGGGCCCTCCCCTGCGTGCTGGCCTTGCCTTGCGGCGCTGCCACACGTTACACTTACCGCGCAAGTCCCGGGTGAAGCGCACGATGAACTTAGACCGGCCACACGGGCAAAGTAATAGTCGCGGGAGAAACGTGACTGTCCGGCTATAAAAGGAGCCAGCCGGCTGTAAAAGTGCTTGAACATGTGACGGCGGCCTAGCTGGTTTCCAGCCGGCTTTCATTTGAAGCTGAAGCGGGGCCCTCGGAGACACTCGCCAGCCTAACCCTGGACCGGGACGTCGTGTTCAGCCGTGAAGACCTGCCTACTACAGAGCTCCCTTCAGCAGCCGGCTGCGAGTGTCTGTCTCCTACAGCCTGCCTCTCAGCGTCTTGTAGACTGGGGGATAGACGTTTTAAATGCACCCTTGCTAGACTCACAACCCCCTTGGAAAATGCTGCCTTCATTTTCACTCGTTTTTTGGCTACAGAAAAGTACTAGAGCAGCGCTTTCCAAACATTTCTTCAGCATGACCCCATATATGTCCCCATTTCCTCAGCACAGCTCCTCACTCTCAGCCCACAGCCCTCCACCCCCGTGACCCCATCCGCTGATATTGTGACCCCCTTTGGGGTCACAACCCACAATTTGGGAACCGCTGGACTAGAGCCATTCTTCTGTCGTGAGAACTCGGAAAGACCAGGACAGGTCTGGTTGCTTTTCGCAGTGTGGGTCCCTATTTGAAAGCTCTGGGCCCATGGCCAAATGAGCCCACACATTTGGTTCCCAGGGAAGAAGTGGTAGCGGTGCACCTTGCACCACAGCTACTTGTCTCTGGGGAACACCCATGCTGCATGCACTTTGGTGCACGGCAAGTTACCCCAGGTGGGGTAAGGGAGATTGGGGTCAGCACTGGGCTAGGCAGCCTGTCCTGGGGGCCTCCCAGGGCTGCAGCTGCAGTGATCCTGCCAGGTAGAGCCAGGCTGGCAACCACAGCATGGCTCCGGGCAGCCCAGCTCTGCTTTTCAGCAGTGCACACTGCCCAAGTGTGTGCTGCTCCATTCTGGGGTTTTTTTCCGTGCAGTTTTTTTGACTCCTGGACATCCAGGGGTCAAAAAAACCCATGGAAAAAAAGAAACAGAACATCATTCAGGGATCAAAAAACCCACGTAAAAAAAAACAAAACTGGAGCAGAGCATACACGGGCAGTGCACCCCCACAGCGCGGAGAATGCCTGACTGCGCTGCGGTGCTGTAGATGTGTTTGTGGCACCACATACTGCAGGGCCACACTCATCTGGACTTTTCTGGATTTGTCTTGTGAATCACGTTTGCACACCTAACAGTTCTAACATTGTGCGACACCCTTTGTAGGTGATGCGTAGGGAGGGCACAGAGGGGGCACGTGCTTCCCCTGAGATTGGCCCTTGCCAGCCGGGGAGTGGGGGGTGGTGGCTGGTGCCCCCCCCCGAGAATGTGAGGGCACCAAGAGAAGCGCTGCTGGCACTTTTGGTTTGCTGGCACTTCTGGTTTGATCAGCTGCTGGGGGATCCCCACACTCTGTGACTGGCGACTGGCTGCTGGTGCCCTCACCAGGATCAGGAGGCACTAGTTACCCAAGGATCCCAAAGCATCTCCACATGCCTCAGCACCCTGACTGAGAATTGGTGATCTAGAAAAATCTTGCCTAACCCCAGAAAGAGATTAGGTCAGTCTGGTAAACCCATAGTGCGTTTCATTTCATTTTCAATTTACCCTCATGCATTACATTATTCTTTCCCTCAAAAGCTGTTCTAAAGCTTGTTGTAAGTGTTGCATGGTACCCTGTGGCACCCTTGAAAGGATGTTAAGGTAGCCCAGGACTCTAGTTGAGTCTCACTGTACCAGAATCACTGCAGAGCTCTCCACTTCATCCGCTCTGTGGTATAGCCTTATGTCTACAAAAGGGCAAAAATAGAGGATAGTGCATGCTGCCTTACACTGGCCCTGTCCAGAGGAGGACCCTAAAGGTAGCTCAGGCTCCCATACATTACTGGGGTTTGAGTCTAGCATCCCTACATCCCTACTATAGCAGACCCATATCTCAACCACCTAGCCATGTTAGCCATCAAAATTAACATATGAAATTTATGTGCTTGGCCATACTAGCTGCATCTACTAGATTACAAGTCCCCCTAGATCCAGAAATAAGCACCAAGGGTTTCCTGATTAAATATATTCTGTATATAAAGATTGCAACTGAAAGAGGTGACTATGAGAAAGGACATTCTCTTCTGAAGACACCGGTGGGACTTAGGAGGCAGGATTCTATTTCTGGTTCAGCTAGACTTCCCATGGGATGGTTGAAACACTGCATAATACATGTATGGGTGCCGCAGCCATCATACTGGCATTTCCTTGAGTGCTTGACTTTGCATCCTAACATACTTTTAACTTGCGTGTACTTGAGTGAATATAAATGTTTATTTTTCCACTGAGCCGTTATAGGAGCTGTACTTACACCTGTAAACCTCATTAGTAAACAGAAATGTCAGCCCCCGGGACAACAGTCCTTTTTCACAGCCATGAACATTTTGCATCCTCTGGAAATCCATGAAGTTCCCCCAAGGAGTCTACACCAGAAAGTCAATTTGGAACAGGAAGGAAGTTGCCTATGATGACTGTACCTTTGTGACTCCTTTGCTTGTGTCAGCTTCATATGAATGAACTCAAAGTGTATGTGCATTGCTTTTTTATTCAGAGCCTTTTTAATACAGGTCAGCTTTTTTGACCTTTAGGCAGAATTAGCATTTATATTTGTGTTCAAGATCAACATTCCAAATCTGCGATCAGTCCATGGGCTCCATGCCAGAAACTGTGGTTCTCATCAGATGGAAAATTAATGCTCAAACACAAGGAGCACATGAACTTTACTGAAATTATTTCTGTACAAATAATCCAAATCACTGATTATTCCTGACTGACATTTTATTGCTAATTGGACCACTAGCCATAGGGATTTTAATAATTGCTGTTGTAATAATAGCTGTGTTGAGTTTTGACAATTGAATGTTAGTGCAGGAAATCCTTTAGAATTAATCACATCTAATAGAGTTGATGAATCTGAAGCCTGAGCATGCAACATGTGCAGGCAACTCCCACTTAATGCTGTTTTGCTATAACGCTCATTTAAAATTGATACCTGATTCCACTTAGTGCTCAGTGAGTTTTGTTATAACACTCATGGTCGCCATCTTGGGTCATTAAAAAAACCCACTTGCAGTCATCATCTTGGGTCATCAAAAACTTTCAGTTTCGCTTAATGCTTGGTTTTTCAGGAACCAATTCAGAGCACTAAGCAGGGGTTGTCTGTACTCATACAAATAGTCTAGACTTGCTACATGTAACACTGAACATTTACTCATATAAATAAAGGTTGCAGATTTAGACCCTGGGTTCAACTCTTGCAAGCTTTCCCCTGTACGTGATCTCTTTCAGTGTCTTCCCGTCTTCTTTGGAGGTCTACTTTAATACATAGATCTATATAAATTAATACACAGATCTATAAAAATGGAACAGCTTGCGGGACTGTG